CATGCAGCAGGGATGTGCAACAATAACAACAAAGTGCCATCTTTGCCTCACAGCTTCACACAGCTCCTCCTCTCTGACACGATTGGGGGCTAATCCGGGATCTTGTCCTTGAAATGAATGAATTTTTTATTTTGTATGTTTCTTTGGTGTTTATAGAAAAGGTTTGAGCATTAACTGTGTTTGCATTCCTTCAGACGCTGAGTATCAGTCAGACAGACGGTGAAAGAAAACATAAAAACAAGGAAACACAGATGGTTTCTTCTCAGTGCAGGACGTCCATCAGAGGCAGGGTTCCCCTGTCCTCAGTCAAAGGAAGTGGAAAGTTTCATATATGGTCGGGATAAAGCTCAAGCCTGTCAAGCATCAGTGTGAATGAAAATGATTGGAGTGGATAAAGACATGAAACATCCTCTGGGGACCTTGATTTAACCACGGAGGGTTTTTTACCTGTTACTGAATCACAAAGGCACAAAGACTGTTGGGAAAGCTTGGAGCGTTGTGGAGCAAAGGCTAATTCATACGCAGAAGAGCCTGATTCCTATTCCAGGGTGATAATTGCAATCCATCAGAAACTCATTTGAAACCCGCAGAAGCAGATTAAAAAGGTCAAAGACTTTCAGAGCCGCCACAGAGCGAGAACTTCCTGTGAGCCGGCGACTAATCAGAGCTGATACGATGATTATCCTCCAGGCGTTGTGTGTAAGAGCTGCCGTGACTCCTAAACTCCTCTCAACAGTGACGGCTCCACAGTTCACCGGCTCGGTCATTCAACGCTGCAGATTGCTTTCCTGTTGCGTCGTGTGATAGAATACAGTAGAAGACTAGAGCAGACTTTATTAATCACCAGTTCACCTCAAATACAAATAAGATATACTAAGAATAAAACATCAGCAGCAACAGAAAGATGAGGAAACCAGCCAGAACGAGCTCGCAGGCTCCATGTACGGAGCAGGACATGCTGGACTCACCGTGACCACACGATGCCTCCAACACAGCTGAAGCTGAAGCGTTAACAGAGGTTTCCTGAAACACACATCAGCTTCCACCTGCATCGGGAGTCGGCATGGTAACCTCAGCTCTGGCTGTGATCGTTCCCTGAAGTGAAGCTCAATACGATCTGACCAATCAGAGGACTTCTGGGATTTGAACCATTGCTGTTACCTGCTGGACGTCCTGGTGAAGCAGGGCCGGTCGTTGACGGAGGGAACCGCTTCGTCCATCAGAGGATACGACTTGATGAAGGTCAGCGTGTCGTCCGGGAACTGAACAGACGATTTGTATTCTGAAGCCGAGCCGTCGCCTGCACACGTACCGGGCCTGGACGTTTAAGAACGAAGCAGACACGTCAGAGCTCGTCTTGGTCAAACACAAAGCTAGCTGGGTTTAAGTAAGCGGGACTGAAAGCTAACTGGGTTTAAGTAAGCGGGACTGAAAGC